ATATATAACTGAAAGATTACTGCTAGTTTTGCGCCCGAATGTAGTCTGCGCATATAGTCTGAGGCGGTCCCGCAGGTTTTTCCCATAGACTGTAAGTCTCTCCAGAAGATACGATGTAAGCTAGCTATGTTCACCCGGGCTTGATTTCTTCTTTGATCATTTTTTCGCTTTAGTTCCCTAATCTCTTCCTCACTGTTGTGTCGTTTGGGCAGTTTTGCTGTGTATGCAGTAACAGCAAGAGGAGCCAATTCTGCTAACATGCTGTGTTTAGCAGCGCTGTAGAGGCTAGAGGACGCAGCCTTGATCTGTGATTGGAGGAGAGCGGGCGTCACGCTAAGGCTATATCCACACAAAGACAAAACGCTTATAATTTCAGAAACTTTTTCTGTAAACACGGAGTTAGCTCAGTAAATGTGTGCGTCCATATGAATGTAGTCAATACGCCTGAAAACGCTGTGAAACTATGCCAGACCTGTTGGTGGCGCTGTGACGCAATGACGGGATCAAGCCCAAACTTCCGTGACGGGAACTGGGCATGCGCAGAATTTTGTAAACAGACAACATGGCGAGTGGGCGAGCTGGTACTACATTAGTATGGACGGACGATGAGGTTGAACTGTTGCTTCGGGTCACACTGGATTACAAAACCAACAAGCTACATTGTTGTTGTCATTATTTTCTGAGTGCGGCGCATGCGTGCTTTAACAAGAGGCGGGGCGATGACGCAAGCGTCTCAGATACATTGCGGAGAGGCAGTAACCACGGAGCGGCATATACGGAGTTTTGAAATCTTTCCACTCTGGGACCTAGTTTCAAAAATGTTCGTTTACACCCCCCCAAAACGCCGGCCTCGTATGGACGATACACTGGATTGATAAAGTATTTTTGCGTTTAGGCCTGAGCTTGACTTTGTGTGGACAGGGTCTAAGTCTCTACTCAGCACTTTTTTACGGCCTGAAGTCATACACAGCTGAATCAATGCGCTCAAGTTTTCAATTAAATTACGGATTATAATGCAACTTGTATGTAGTAATAAGCATTTTCATGAACTCATAAAAAAAATTGGGTATAGCATTTTTAAAGGAGTTTCCCAAAGTTTAGGAAAGAACTGCCTTCTCCAGTTTTTGAACAGTGTTTTGAGCTCGTGTCACCAGAAGGATTGACAAGTGGGAGGACCAATAGTCTCAATGATCCACCCGGAAGTAGAACATCCTGCTATATACCTCTAACCAAAAAAAAAACTACTTTGGAATCAGGCTGTAACATTACAACTCGTAGAGAAAGTGAGACTGGTTGAATACTTTGTGAAGGCACTGCTGTTCTGTTTGGGATCCATCTCGTAACAACTGATTTCCGGCTTGAGTGTGATCAAAGTGACTAATACATGTGTTTGTAAAGTGACAGATGAAACACAGTGTTCTCGTTGCAGTATTCCCATGTGTTCCAGATGTGACTCAGTCTGATCCAAAGTCCTCCGAGCTTTGATTGAACAAAGGGAGTGACGTTTGCTCAGCTCCACATGAATTATATTCTGTTTACACAACGCTCTGACTCTGAACCCAACGGCAAGACACTTCAGTTTATCATAAAGCTGCTGTACCTGAGTTTTGAGGAATAAATATTTTGTGGCTTGTTAAAGTAAAATGTTTGGATGTGCAATGTATAGAATATTCCTTACATGCAGTCTTACTATTAAATGTAATCATTTGTATAAGAATGACCCCTGGGGAGTCACTTATTTGACTCATTGGGCTGAGAGCTGTGTGTGTGTGTGTGTGTGTGTGTGTGTGTGTGTGTGTGTATGTACGTGTGTATGGGTGAATGTGTGTTTATTTGTGTGTTTTCAATTCTGTCCACTCTGTCCTTCCAAATCTTAATTCAGTGATTTGGGAAACAGTAAAGTTAAATCTTGAATAACTATAGCGACATCACCTTAGGGAGCGGTTTGTTCCATAGTTGAGCACAAAGCTTCTCATGGTGTAAAATACAATAAAAAATTAGGATTTTTTTCATGAAGTGCTACAAATCCTCTGTTTCCCCACTATACACAGCTCTCCATCTGCACACACTGAAGTAACTTTATTCATCTGGAGATTAGTTAGAGTAAATCCTCTCCTCTTGTCGACGCTTTCATTGGAAAATCAGCCAGACTTTCCTCTCGCAGCGTGTCAACATACCTTGCGATCACGCTGAACTGAGAGACGTCTGTGGACTGTTGCAGAGCAAGGGAAAAATAAGCCGCTGAAATCGCTGATGTCCATGAGTTGTTTTTCCTCCACTTGAGTCGCCATGACGATGGTGTGGTCCTGCACAGTTCTCGCAGACAAAGGCATCTCTTTTATTCCTTTGATTATCTTTTCTTTCGTCACAAAGTCGTCAAAAAGTGAATTCAGCCACGTCTGGGGTTGCCAACTTAAGGACAGAAAAAAAGGGACCCCATTTGGGTCGAGTTGAGCACTTTTTAGTTGTGCTAATTTGAATCTACACAGGAATCATGAAAATTCATATTCACAGTTAATGTATGTAATTTTTTTTTTTTTTTTAAATTAAAAAAAATAAAAAATAAATTAAAAAAAATATATCCGTAGTCAAAGATTAAATGAAATAAACAGCCTAGTTTTAAATGAACATCATCATGAACAAAAACAGATGCCTCTATAACAATCTTTCTTATACTGTACTGCTTCCTTTTTTCACACAGCTCTTCTTGAGCGGTGCAACTCTTTGGCTGGTTTAAGTTATTTTCTTTGGGTAGTAAACAAAAAACTGTGTGGATTAAATTAGACTGTAAATTAAGATGCATGGGTAGATTATTTTAATAGTATGATTATAATACCAGCAAAACTGATAACTTTTTATTGTGTTAAAAATATGTGTGTGTCTCAGAGCCCGACGCAATCATGAAAAGAGCAATGGGTTCCCGACCCCGGCTTTAGTGGGAAACTTTGTACTTGCTCTTATCAGCAAAATGCAAAACAGACTTTGATTTATTCACCTCTGGCTCTGCATATTCTCCGTCCTCTGCTCCCCTCTCTCTCAGTTATCTTTTCTCCCCTATCCTCCCCCTCATCTCTCTCCTCTCCTTCCTCCTCTCTCCTCTTTCTTCTCTCCTCTCTCTCCCCTCTCCTCTCTCTCTTCTCTCCTTCCTCCTTGCTCTTGCCTCTCCTTCGTTCTCTCTCCTCTCTCTTATTTTTCATCTCCTTCCTCTTCTCTCTCCACTCTCCTCTTCTCTCTCCACTCTCCTCTTCTCTCTCCACTCTCCTCTTCTCTCTCCACTCTACTCTCTCTCTCCTCTTCTCTCTCCACTCTCCTCTCTCTCTCCTCTTCTCTCTCCACTCTCCTCTCTCTCTCTCCTCTTTCTCCTCTTCTCTCTCCTTCTCTCCTCTCTCTCCTCTTCTCTCTCCACTCTCTCTCTCTCTCTCTCCTCTCTCTCCTCTTCTCTCTCCTCTTCTCTCTCCACTCTCCTCTCTCTCTCTCCTCTTTCTCCTCTTCTCTCTCCTCTCTCTCTCCTTCTCTCCTCTCTCTCCTCTTCTCTCTCCTTCTCTCCTCTCTCTCCTCTTCTCTCTCCACTCTCCTCTCTCCTCTTCTCTCTCCTTCTCTCCTCTCTCCCCTCTTCTCTCTCCTTCTCTCTCCTCTTCTCTCTCCTCTCTCTCCTCTCTCTCTCTCCTCTTCTCTCTCCTCTTCTCTCTCCTCTTCTCTCTCCACTCTCCTCTCTCTTTCTCCTCTTCTCTCTCCACTCTCCTCTCTCTCCTCTTCTCTCTCCACTCTCCTCTTCTCTCTCCTTCTCTCCTCTCTCTCCTCTTCTCTCTCCACTCTCCTCTTCTCTCTCCTTCTCTCCTCTCTCTCCTCTTCTCTCTCCTCTCCACTCTCCTCTTCTCTCTCCACTCTCCTCTCTCTCTTCTTCTCTCTTCTCTTTGTTCCTGTTTCTCTGTAAGCCGACCGTGCTCCAAAGCTCAGGTAATGGACCAAAAGAAGCGTTTCTATTGGATTTGTGAGGATTTTCTGGCTCCAAAGACTCTGACTGTGGGAACACTCACGATATTAGTGAAATCATGTTATTCTATTAAGTCAGAAACAGGACATGAGCCATGCGGCACACACACACACACACACACACACACACACACACACACACACACACACACACACACACACACACACACACACACACACACAAACACAAACACACACACACACACACACACACACACACACAGCTAAAGCCAGAGGAAAACCGGTAACTTTGAGCAAATGTAGGCACACAATCAAAAACAAATGTGGCAATACTTCCAATACTTTGCATAAGTGAGTGACGCTCTTACCATCAGAGTAAAAATATGTTTCTATTGCTCTATGTGGATGAGAAACTTGGCGTAGTCCATAATGTATTTCCCTCTGGTCCCTCTCTCTGGTCGCTCCCTAATCTCTCTCTGGTCTCCCACTGGCCTCTCTCTGGTCTCTCTTTCTGGTCTCTTTCTTTCCCTGGTCTCTCTGGTCTTTCTTTTGTCTCTCTGGTCTCTCTCTCTGGTCTCTTTCTTTCCCTGGTCTCTCTGGTCTTTCTTTTGTCTCTCTGGTCTCTCTCTCTGGTCTCTTTCTTTCCCTGGTCTCTCTGGTCTTTCTTTTGTCTCTCTGGTCTCTCGAAATTTATTATTATTATTAGTCGACACAGCATTTCAACACGTGCCAAAACCCACAGGGCCGCAGTGGGAAAAACCTGTAGTGAGGCTTGAAAACAGCATTTAGACTCAGAGCTCTGTCTTACACAGATGAAGACAGAATGCTATGGTCCGATTTGTTTTTAGGATCTTGTGAATGTGGAAAAGTCCAACTAAACCTGCTCCAAATCAGGACCTCTTAGCAGCCGTGACTCAGAGATTTCTGCAGACGCTGATTCACCGTCTCCGCTGTCCGACTTCAAGAGGAAGTTTCTGTTCCACACATGATCTCTGCACATTTTACATTTCACAGAATCATTCACAAAACACTGTGAATCAGTGTTTATGAGGCTGGTGCTCGGCCTGTCGTCTCACAGAAACAGACCAGCGTCAGAGGTCTGTCTGCACTCTTTGATTCTCTGATCTGTGATGGCGAAGCAACCACTTTGTAAAGTCCTCTGAGATAACTGCTGATTTATCTATACACAAAAACACTGAATTGAATGGATCACCCACAGTGGTTTTGTAGCAGCCTACACAGGGCAGGCTATAGGCGAAATGAAGTAATGGCGCCACTTGTTAGAAGGAATCACAGTGAACAGGTGCAGTGACAGTAGTCACAAAACTCTTTCAGATAAAAAAAAGTTTAACAAATGATTTTTGGCTTCCCTTTCCACTTTGACCGTACCCCATTACCGCAGACTAAGCCGGGCCACTTTACCGCGGTGAAGGAAGGGAGGGGGTGTGACGTAATGTTGTAACATTACCAATATATTATAATATTTCTATTAGATAGGCTTTGCTTTGCATATACATTAAGATGGGATTTGTTTTTGTAATAAGAAATAATAGAACCATCTAGTTATAAAAACAGTTAAAGTGACCTTTTTTTCTTCTTTCCCATCTCTGACACTTTCTGATGCATTTGCCTGTACAGCCTATGCCATGGGCCGGGTCTTCACCTACACCCGTACACTGGTGCACGGAGGCAGGTCGATCCCCATATGATGTCTGCGTAGATTTCCTCTTATTTCCCCGACCACTAAAAACTGTTCTCTAGGATGAAACCAGAAAGATCACATTAGTCAAGTTCTCATGTTTCTGCTTGTGTACACGTCTCTACATGACCTCACACTATGACATGTACACCCCAGTATAGGAGCACAGGGACTGGCCTCCTGCTGGGACTCTGAGGAGCACAGGGACCGGCCTCCTGCTGGTACCCAGAGTCAGGACTACACTTGGAGAGGCAGCGTTTCTGACAATCCAGCTTCAAACAGTTTTGTTTTGCTGTAACTGAAGGATAGTATCTAGGATTGTATCTTGTTTACATACTTCAGCAGCAGAGTCTGATCTATTTAATTCCTGTGCATTGCCCTGATAATTGCACTCTTTCTAACACAAAATACATTCTATTACAATAAGAACAAGCATGTTTTTGTCTGGTTTGTTCACAACATCTTACTCTTACAAGACTCTTTCTGTTGGGTGGGGGGCAAGTGAGATGCCCCAGCTTCAATCAGCCGCATGGTCCTTTACCCCGGGGCCTTATTTTCTCGCGACGCTTCTGCCTTTGGACCACACGCTCCTCTGGGCACATGAACCATCACGCACGGTCCGCGGGTGGAGTTTGACTTCAGCGCTCTCTCCCTCCTCGCCCTCACTCCCTCATTCTCACCCAGCCTCACCCAGCACCCTCCGCCCTCCCCCGTCTGCGCCACGTGATCTGCGAGAGACCGGGGACTCCGTGCGTAAAGGGCTCATCTGCGGCGCGAGGTGAGTTTGGGACCCGACCAAAACACTCTCGACACGTCAACGCGGACCCACAAGCTGTCTGTGTGTGTTTGTGTCTGTCTGTCTGTCTGTCTGTCTGCTTACATACGTGTGTGTGTGTACATGTGTGTATCTATGACGCAAAGTGAAAACTCTAGTCCAAAACGTGTCCTGGATTCGCCTTTACGCGCATATCTTTCCCAAACGCAGCCGTCCCCACTGAGTTCTCAGAGCGGTGTTCGTGACTCCAGCTAAAATCTACAGTTTCCCAAAGTTCTGAGCTCAACTTTGTTAAAGTTTGACGCACGGGGCGTTGGTTCCAAAGTCTGCGTCACTGTCAAGACTCGAGTGCAGGAAGTGTGGCTGCGCTCCGATTAAGTTAAATATGGAGCAAAACAACCGCTGTACGATGAGTTTAAAGTGTTTACAGATTGAGAGAGGGGTGAGAATGGAGTTGGGAAGAGATTGAGACTGGGTTGAAGTTTTTTTGAGCGAGCTGAAACAGTGAGGTGGGAGGAGCGCACAAGTCCAGGCTGTTTAATGTCTGTTTTATGTCTGTTTTGGTCACTTAAAGCTGGGGTTCGTTCATAACTTTAGTCTCATAAATGACACATGTAGTTCTTCCAACAGAGAGTCTTATAATGTTGTGGACAAACCAGACCACATCATGCTGTCCACATATTTGGTGTTAGAAAGAGCCCTGCGAGTCACTATTGGACTCTTTGGGCTGAGAGCTGATTGGTTAAGTGAGGGTGGTCCTCTGTTTTTCACTTTTTTGTCTGAAAAAGCTGATCTAAAGATGTGACTGAGGCAAGAAAAACATGAATGCAAAGTTGTGGTTCAGTCTGGGTTGAAAGTTATGCACCCCGGCTTTAAAAAACAGGACTAATATTGGCAATACATGTTTAGTTACAATGTTAGTTACACCACAGATTCAGACCTGTTTAAAATACTTGTACTCAGGAAAGATTAACCCACAGTTTCAAGCCCAAAGTGGTGAGTGTGACACATGGTCATTGAGATAGAGGACTTTACGTTTTTATGTAAGTCAATTGGAGCCAGAGCAAGTCAGAGGAAAAACTTTGTCCATGAGCACTTCTCTGAGCAAGGGGTTTAGCATTATCTATACTGTCATATACGTATACGGCCTATGGTTTGTCCATATATTTTCAATTTAGGAATAATTTCATATTCTAGACATAATATTCTAAAGTGACTAGTCTCAATATTGTGTTTAAGAATCAGAGCCTCAGACCCGTCCGTGTGTCCAGGGAGAGACAGACCACATGTTTCTGCAGGAGAATGTAAGTGCTGTGGTCTGGAGCTGTTTGTTGTTGTAAAGTCGTTCTGTCGGAGCTCGTGTTTTACTCCGAGAGGATCGATGCGTTTCCCATCAGGAGACACATTAACACAGCCTGGTTAGAGACGTGGGGGGAGAGAGGGGTGTGTGTGTGGGGGGGGGGGGGGGGGGGGGGGGGGTTTAATTGAATAAAATAACTGCAGTGATGCGGTCGCTGTGTCGGACTGTTCTGGGGAAGAGGGAGCAGCGTCTGAAGTGAGAGCTCTGGATATACAGTGCCTTGCGAAAGTATTCGGCCCCCTTGAACCTTTCAACATTTCGCCACATTTCAGGCTTCAAACATAAAGATATAAAATTTTAATTTTTTGTCATGAATCAACAACAAGTGGGACACAATCGTGAAGTAAACGAAATGTATTGGATAATTTAATCTTTTTTAACAAATAAAAAACTGAAAAGTGGGGCGTGCAATATTATTCGGCCCCTTTACTTTCAGTGCAGCAAACTCAGTCCAGAAGTTCAGTGAGGATCTTTGAATGATCCAATGTTGTCCTAAATGACTGATGATGATAAATAGAATGCACCTGTGTGTAATCAAGTCTCCGTATAAATGCACCTGCTCTTTGATAGTCTCAGGGTTCTGTTTAAAGCGCAGAGAGAACCATGAAGCCAAAGGAACACACCAGGCAGGTCCAAGATACTGTTGTGGAGAAGTTTAAAGCCGGATTTGGATACAAAAAGATTTCCCAAGCTTTAAACATCTCAAGGAGCACTGTGCAAGCAGTTATATTGAAATGGAAGGAGTATCAGACCACTGCAAATCTACCAAGACCCGGCCGTCCCTCCAAACTTTCATTCCAAACAAGGAGAAGACTGATCAGAGATGCAGCCAAGAGGCCCATGATCACTCTGGATGAACTGCAGATAACTACAGCTGAGGTGGGAGAGTTTGACCATAGGACAACAATCAGTCGTGCACTGCACAAATCTGGCCTTTATGGAAGAGTGGCAAGAAGAAAGCCATTTCTCAAAGATATCCATAAAAAGTCTCGTTTAAAGTTTGCCACAAGCCACCTGGGAGACACACCAAACATGTGGAAGAAGGTGCTCTGGTCAGATGAAACCAAAATCAAACTTTTTGGCCACAATGCAAAACGATATGTTTGGCGTAAAAGCAACACAGCTCATGACCCTGAACACACCATCCCCACCTCAGCTGTAGTTATCTGCAGTTCATCCAGAGTGATCATGGGCCTCTTGACTGCATCTCTGATCAGTCTTCTCCTTGTTTGAGATGAAAGTTTGGAGGGACGGCCGGGTTTTGGTAAATTTGCAGTGGTCTGATACTCCTTCCATTTCAATATAATTGCTTGCACAGTGCTCCTTGAGATGTTTAAAGCTTGGGAAATCTTTCTGTATCCAAATCTGGCTTTAAACTTCTCCACAACAGTATCTCGGACCTGCCTGGTGTGTTCCTTTGTCTTCATGGTTCTCTCTGTGCTTTAAACAGAACCCTGAGACTATCAAAGAGCAGGTGCATTTATACGGAGACTTGATTACACACAGGTGCATTCTATTTATCATCATCAGTCATTTAGGACAACATTGGATCATTCAAAGATCCTCACTGAACTTCTGGACTGAGTTTGCTGCACTGAAAGTAAAGGGGCCGAATAATATTGCACGCCCCACTTTTCAGTTTTTTATTTGTTAAAAAAGTTTGAATTATCCAACAAATTTCATTCCACTTCACGATTGTGTCCCACTTGTTGTTGATTCATGACAAAAAATTAAAATTTTATATCTTTATGTTTGAAGCCTGAAATGTGGCGAAATGTTGAAAGGTTAAGGGGGCCGAATTCTTTCGCAAGGCACTGTAGTCAGTCTGCGTTCCCACCCACCCTCACTTGTGGGGGAGGACCCAAAGGACAATCAGCGGTCCCTCAGAGGTCCCTCACTATAAAGGCTTCACCTTTTGCAGCCTAGACCTCAGTCCTGCTCAGTCCTCCGCACAGTCCAGCTGTAGTTTAAAGTGTGTGCACAGCTTTTGACAGCTGCAGCAGCGCTCAGACCCACAACCAACGGGTGCAATATCTCTGGTCTCTCTCTCTCTGGTCTCTCTCTGGTCACTCTCTGGTCTCTCTGGTCACTCTCTGGTCTCTCTCTGGTCTCTCTCTGGTCACTCTCTGGTCTCTCTGGTCTCTCTCTGGTCTCTCTCTTGTCACTCTCTGGTCACTCTCTGGTCACTCTCTGGTCTCTCTCTGGTCACTCTCTCTCTCTCTCTGGTCTCTCTCTCTCTGGTCACTCTCTGGTCTCTCTCTCTCTGGTCACTCTCTGGTCTCTCTCTGTCTCTCTGGTCTCTCTGGTCTCTCTCTGTCTCTCTCTGGTCTCTATCTCTGGTCACTCTCTGGTCTCTCTCTCTGGTCTCTCTCTGGTCTCTCTGGTCTCTCTCTGATCTCGCTCTGGTCTCTCTCTGGTCTCTCTCTGGTCTCTCTCACTTAATCAGTCGTGAGTTCAGGTGGTTTGAAAAGTGTATTAAGTGTGAGGGTTTTACAGTCTTAAAACATACAGCTACTACTGAGAGGATTTCACTTATTGCATATTGTTTACATCGGAAACGTTTTGTTTGGACACAGACGCATAGTTGCCTGGTTTCCACGATGACACAGTTTCAGTGGAAAAGCAACCAGTCCATCGAGTTTCACCTCCTCATCTGATCCTCCGTCCAGACACTGTAGCAGCAAAAGCAGCAGCCATTGTATTAGTAGTTGTAGTTGTTGTTGCAGCAGTAGTAGTAGTAGCAGTATCAGTACTAGCAGTAGCAGTAGCTGTAATAGTAATAATAGCCGTAGTAGTAGTAGTAGTAATATTAGTAGCAGTAGATAGATAATTAGATACTTTATTGATCCCCGTAGGAGAAATTCAGTTGTAATAGTAGTATTAGTAGTAGTAGTAGCAGAAGTAACAGGGTTTTCTGTTTCAGAATGTGGCTGTGTGTATGTTTGAGAAGATAATAGTATAATTCTTCCTTTTAGAAAAATCAAATAAAAATACCTTGTTCCACATTCAAAACCAACATCAGAAGTTGCGGTGTTCCTGCTGTGTTCCTGCTGACTCTTGAAAACGAGACCCGAGTGTAAAAACTGTCAGATTGATCCAAAAATAGAGACTGGGTTTGCATTATATCTGCTGTGTACATAGAGCTGCTTTGATGAATGAGATTTTATACAGAGCACTTTCCCTGATCGATCGCAGCCTCCACTCTGCTTAATGAGACCCTGTTATGATGGAAGGGGCCGGGTTCTTTTTACAGGATGGCAGGGGAAGATGGACTGGCTTCTTTATGTACTTCAGTGTAGTGTCAGGATTAAAGGGGACATAACGTGTATATATTTAACCACCGCTCACCTGTGGCTCTGGTGACAAAGGTTCGAAAACTAAACACCAGGGGCAGTACTTTTGACGTAATTACAGCGTAACAAGTCATGGAGACGTGTTTTGGCGAGTGAAGCTCTGGCTCTGAGTTTAGGCTGTTGCATGTGCTGCTCTTTCCTTTATAAAGTTGTCCATCTAAAAAAAAAATATGAGTGTCAGTATTGCTCCACGTGGAGGAGAAACTTGCCATTGTCCGTTATGATATGATTCCCTCTGTCTGGACTCTTTCTGGTGTTCTTGGTCTGGTCGGTCTCGGTCTCGGTCTCGGTCTCTCTCTCTCTCTGATGTGTTCCTGGTCTCTCCCTCTCTGTTTGGGAAGTGCCATTTTGATATGTTCCTGTTTTTCACCGTAGTTATAAGCCAGCACAGGTCTAACAACACACCGTCCCTTCCCCTGTTGTCACGGGCAACACACAACTCTAATATGGGTCAAAAAAGCATGTTTTTAATAAAAGTGTTTTGTCTGTTGTCAGGATCAGGAGATTCAGTCAAGAACCACTCAGAAGGTGAACACAAGCTTCATACATCACAAGTGAGTGACTGTAGGGTTGGAAAACTATTTTAGGGCAGGACATCAGCAAATCTGGTCCCTCTCTGGTCTCTCCCTGGTCTCTCTCTCTGGTCTCTCTTTGGTCTCTCTCTGGTCTTTCTCGGGTCTCTCTTTGGCCTCTCTTTGGTCGCTCTCTGGTCTCTTTGGTCTCTCTCTGGCCTTTTTTGGTCTCTCTTTGGCCTCTGTCTGGTCTCTCTGGTCTCTCTTTGGCCTCTCAATGGTCTCTCTCTGGTCTCTTTCTCAGGTCTCTCTTTGGCCTCTCTTTGGTCTCTCTCTGGTCTCTTTGGTCTCTCTCTGGCCTTTTTTGGTCTCTCTTTGGCCTCTGTCTGGTCTCTCTGGTCTCTCTTTGGCCTCTCAATGGTCTCTCTCTGGTCTCTTTCTCGGGTCTCTCTTTTAATGCTTGAAATTCGCATGTCACAAGAAATGCAATTATTTTCCCTTTGGTCAGCCTCTCTCTCTCCCCCTCAGTCATAGCAGACCTGTGACCTCTTTCCCTTCTCTCCCCCAGTCATGGCCGAACAGCTCCAGCGGATGGTCTCTGAGAAGAAGGACATGGTGGAGACGGTGATGGAGGTCTTTGAGCAGGGGGCTGAGGTGGTGGCCAGCATCGCCGGAGACATCTTCCCCGTGTTCGCCATCGCTGCACCCATCGTCAGACTGGCCCTGGACAATGTGGAGAGCAAGGTGAGGGTCCAGGACTGTGAGGGTCCAGGACTGTGAGGGTCCAAGACTGTGTGCTCTCTGGCATCTGGTCGCTCTTGTCTCTAGTCTTTCTCTGGCCTCTCGGGGCTCTCTCTTTCTTTATCTGTCAAGTCTCTCTGGCCTCTCTGATATCTCTCCCGGGACTATTTCTTTCTCCCTCTGACCTCTCTTCTTCTGTTGTCTATTTCTGGTCTCTTTCTCTCTATCTGGTAACCCTTGTCTCTGGGCTTTCTTGGCCTCTCAGGTCTCTCTCTATCAAGTATCTCTGTCTCTCTCTCTCTGGCCTCTCTGTTTTTCTCTTTCTGTGGTCTGTCTCTTTCTCTCTCTCATTCCTCTCTAGTCTCTCTGGTCTCTCTTTATCTGCAGTCTATCTCTGGTCTGTCTCTCTCTGGCATCACTCTAGTCTCGGATCTCTCTCTAGCCTCTCTGTCTTTCTCTCTCTCTTTCTCTGGTCTGTCTCTTTCTCCCTCTCTTGTCTCTCTCTTGTCTCTCGTGTGAGTCAAAGACAGTAAATTAAGTAAATCTGCATGTAAACATTTGGAGACACATGCTTTTGCTTAAGTGCAGATAAGTATCTGGTTTTTATGTAGAATGGATTTAACATTTAGTCTCTTGAGAACAGGATAAAACACAGCTGTTTTATGCAGTCGTCATCCCTCCCCCTGTCTGCTCGTAAGCTCTGCCTCCTGCTGCGACGAACGGAAACAGAAAAGAAACGTGTGCAGTAAAGCTGGGATACCTAAATTCCAAACCTAAAACAGTTCCATATTCCTGGCCTCTGTCACATCTTTAGATCAGCTTTTTCCAATCGGCTCTTAGCCCAAAGAGTCAAATAGGCTCTTCCATGTACAAAAGAGAACATATTGTGGTCTGATTTGTTCACGTTTTACAAGTTTGATGAACAAAATGTAATGTGCACCAGTTGTAATGAAGCTGTAAGTCAGACGACATACTAGTTTATTGAATACAACATATTTTCAAGTTTAAGAATGTTTTCGTCATGGAGAAAGTTGTGTCTGCTGCAGGAGGCCGTCTACATGAAGGAGCAGTTCCAGAAGGTGCGCGAGCGTCTGGAGGTGGTGTCCGAACAGATCCAGCGCATCAACGACGAGATCAAGAAGAGCGGAGCCGACGCCGCCTACTTCTCCGTGGAGGAAAACATCACCAACCAGTTCCGCAAGTACATGGACATCCTGAACGCCAAGCCCAAGTTCCGCGAGGTCAAGAAGAAGCTGTTCCTCGACCATTTCGCCAAAACGGGCGGCGAGAAAAACCTGCACACGCTCTACAACGCCGTCACGGGGGACAACTTCTCCGGAGAGTCGGTGTTGGAGATCACCATGAACTACGAGGAGAAGAACCGGCGCGCTATGGAGGAGTTCTGCGCCCGTATGAAGCGGCTGTTCTGCATCGGGCTGATCGCTCTGCTGGGACACGCCGCGCTCAAGGACTACGGTATGAACCGGCGGCTGATGAGAAACCGCACAATATTTGGTGATAAAATAGTTTTGTGTTGATGTTGTGAGGTTTATACGGTAACCAGAGGTCCCTGGGTTACGTTGTCATCTATAGCCCTATTCGGACAGGATTAGTTTTACATGGGGACCCCTGGTAATTTGTGATATCGCAGAGGACTCCTGAGATCTGACAGCGCATTCGCACGGGATAAGCAATGTCTGTAATTTTCACTGACCTCTCACGTAACGGCCGCACGTGCGCGGGTCTCTCCGCTTCACCCAGTTCATAAAGACTGGCGTCTGACCACAGCAGCCACAGGCACCATGAGGACAAACACATACGTGCATTTTACTGCTCTACAGTTCTCTGGCCTGTACTTTCTGTAATGTTTAAGCTCCTCTGCTCACTGACAAAAACAATGCAGAAAGTAAAGAGAAAGCGGCAATAGCGATCACAATCACTGACATGCAGATTTTGCACAAATACAGGAGGTCATTTGCAGCGGAATTATTACTTTACAAATTACAGACATGGCGCATTCGTACGGAACTAAAATCTCCAGACGTCCTCTGCGATTATCACAAATGTCCAGGGGTCCCCATGTAAAACTAATCCCGTCCAAATAGGGCTATAGACTGTAAATATTAACGGACGTAGTCACACTTATCTCCGCCGTTGAAACGAATGTATCACCACTTTTGCCGTCTTTGGGCAGTTTCAAAATGGCCGCGGGGGCAGGAAAATGTGAAAAAAACGCATTTGCGTTTATCAATGCCGTGTCAATGGTTATGCACGTCCGTGCGAGGCATAGCATGTGCGGTGTGGAAGAGGCAGTGGACACAGAGACCCGGTGCATGCGGCGAAAGCAAGAGATGAACTTTTTCCTCCGTGCGCCTTTCAAGAGAGCGGCTGCACAGAGCCATCATGGGGACACAAAACAGGAGATAAACCAGGACTAAACCAGGGCTAACTATGGGGCAGACTGCTTGTGAACATATTCCTCGAGCCTCATTCCCCGTGACTGTAAACAAGGCTGCTAACGTGTGTTAGCCGACACAACAAACGTATTTATTCAGGCAAAAATGCTAAATCTTTAATGCTTTGAAAATATTAGAATTTTTTTTATCGGCTTGGTATTGGCAAAACAATATTTAAGAATATTGGAATCGGATCGGATTACAATAAAATCTGGATTGGTACATCCCTAGTGGTATTCGCAAGCATGTCAGCGCACATCAATTTGGACACTTTAAGCCCCCACTGGTTGTCATGGTGGTATAATGTGCTTGGTTAGTACAATTCTCTACGGTCTGTGTATGTCAGTGGAAAAACTTTTACGCTACATGTTTAACCAGAGCATCAACAATAGAATGGTTTGGTCCATATGGAAGCCTGTAGCAAAGGAGGAGCCTCAGAGATATGGAACAGCTTTAGAGCCCTTTAGCTTTGCAAATATAAAACTCACCTCTGCCTGATTTTGTGTTTTTTTTCCGGATAACAGCAATAACATTTGGCCTTTCAAATTATAATGCAACTGTTTATTTTGTTATTTCATGTTTTAGAGCAGAGGTCAGGAACCTGTGGCTTTGATGATTGTATCTGGCTCTCAGACATAGTTGCATTCATAGTAAGAATGATTACGTCTTTTCAGTATAAAATGTTACTGAACAAAATAGTACACTAGAATGTGTATGGCTCCCACAGAAATACATTTTAAATCAGCTAAAATAGTTCCTGTACTCTCTGTTTTAGAATGTGAATGGTGAAAGTATCAAAATCAAGTAATAGGCATTTTTAAGACATTTACCTTTTACCAGCCTCTTTCTTTTGGACCAACAATATGTCAAAGTTACGTACCTCTGCTTTAAATCAAACTGGTGTTATCCGCAGGTGAAGATGCGCAGCTGCTGGACGACTGGAACCAGCGCATGAAGACGGTGCAGAAGAAGATGGACGCTCTGATTGAAGACTGCATCGTGAGCTTCCCCAAACTGGCCGAGCAGGACTGTCGCCGCATGGTGCGAGACCGCGGCGGCTCCAGCTGCGAGCAGACGGCGCAGGAGCTGCTGGACAAGCTCACGCAGCGCTACGACTGGGTGCGCTGGTCCGTGCGCGTCTTCCGCTCGCCCACCGGTTTTCTGGCCAAAAAGAGGGACTTCCACTGCCCCACAGGGAAGAGCCGCTTCCAGGTGTCGAGTTCGGAGGAGCGCCTGGTGGTGGTGGTGTCGTACAGCGCGTCGCCGGAGCCCGTGGACCGAGCGCGCGTGGCGGAGTTGGTGCAGGCGCAGAAGAAGGTGTCTGTGGGGACGACGGCGGAGTTTCTGTTCAGGGAGCTGCCCGGAGACTGCGTGGTCCACACCGTGAAGACCAAAGACCTGGCCCTGGCCTCCAGCTTCAGCCCCGAGGAGCACTACTGGGAGGAGCACGACAAGGTGCACGTGTGTGTGCACTCGGCATGAGGCGAAGCGGACCAGTCTGAGAGAGAATGTGTCGAAAGGATTAAAATGACTTGAATTCAGGTTATTGTGATTGTATTCCATTTATGTGTGTATCGCCCTAAATCACAACAGCAGTCGTCTCGGAGGGAATCAAACTGTTTAAACACAGGAAATGCAAATATAACAAACAGGAGCCATTGGTCCATAGGGAGCGGGATGACCATAAATGTCTTTAAATGTCCCGGATCATCACTATCCTCAGACCCTCCTGCATTAACACATCTCAGTCCTGTGGAAGAGTGGTTAGCACTCTCACTTCTGGACCCAAATCTGCTTTATTTGTTTGTCCTGTGCGCCATAAAATATGAGTAATCAGACAAACTCAATCTTGTCACTCCGCCCTAGGGCAGCTGTGGCTACATGCACTAGTGAGCAGAATGTATTGATTTGAATGGGTAGACATCTTGGAGAAACATGGGGCAGAAATCTTGGAGACTGAGAGCTTGATTTCTGGAGAAAAGCAGTCTTGTAATACATCATTATCATAAGTACTAAATTAATTGTTAGAGAAAAGTCTCTAAAGAGGTTAGAGACATTGAGAACACTGAGTTAACCCTGAATTCAAGTCATTTTAAAGACATTTGTAAATGCAGTGTTTCAACTAAGACACGTGGAGATGTTTATATGGGACAGTGTTGTATAAAATCCCTTGTTCTCATGTTTTTCCCACTAAACTAATGTATGTTTAAGTCATCTATTCTTCTGCTTTCAAAAACTATTGTTCTGGCGCTCCCCTGTTTTTATGCACTTTGTCGGTGTCTCCATAATACGTTACATCTGAACATTTAATTGTACCTTCTAGAACTTTCTAAGATCAGGTTCACGGCCAAAAGTGAAAACAAATGTTTATTGTCTGTTTGATCAAATGTTTATTTTTCCTGTGGCTTTAGTGTCAGTTTTTTACAGGTAATCAAAAAATTATATAGATACTTTTATGTAATTTAAATATGTTGCTGTTTTCTCTTTTTGAATAAAGCTTCATGTTTCAAGCTGCTGTGTGGGTTTGACTGTGTTTCTCTTTCAAGTCAAGTTTAATTGTATAGCACAGTTCCTACACAAGGTCTCTTACACAACAAAGGTTTTAAAATCATAAATAATATAAATAATAACTGCATTAAAAATAGTGAAGAAATAGAGGCCATAAAACTGAGATTTCTCCTATTGCTAGTTTTTGCATGTACAGTATGTGATTTAGGCCTCTCCCACATTAAAGCTAACACTAGTGATGTCACACTCAGTCAGTCCTAATACACTAAGGCTCAGACAGATACACAGTGAGGAAGACAGTGTTACAACATGACCTGTTTGTAAAATACATGTCTGTGTTTAGTGGTGTCATTGATTGAAACAGGACCCTGGACTCATTTAAATAGTAAAAAAAAAAAGTCTACAAAAATTGACCAATATTGATATAAATATCAGTGTCGATAATCGGTCGCCCTGAAACATCCCTCAGACTGAAGCTGGAACTGTATGTAGAAAAAGTTGAATTTTTTGCCCAAAATGTTGTTGTAATGCAAGTATATTACATTTTTCCTGCATTCACCAGACAAGTACATGAATAAAACAAGGTAAAAGTACAGGCTCTAAGCAAGGTAGGTCATGGCTTGCACTGAGATGGGAGACCTTAGGCAAGACACTTCACCCATATGGCCTAGAATGATGATAAATGGTTGGTGGTGGTCAGAGGGGCTGATGGCACATACTGTTTGTCTCACTTCTGTCACTCTGCCTCAGGGCAGCTATGACAAAAGTAGTAGTTTATCACCATTGTGTACGAAAGGAGTGAATACTGCTGTGAAGCGAGTGTCCAAAAAAGCACTCTATATAACCGGTGCTTCGTCATAACTGACCAATCCGGAGCCTTCTCTTTCCCAATTCAACTTTAGATACCAAACAGTGCACGTGGGAAGTGTCCTTTTTGGTTCTTTGGTTGCTAGGAGAGAGGTTGGCTTGAAATTTCTGCCCATGGAGTGTGCTCAATCTGCAGTTATGGACTGCCCTACACGACCTGCGTTATGGGCTGCACCCCCTCCCCGCCTGGGAGCTGCCTCAGTCCTGCACCGCACCTGCCCTTGTTTTACAACCGCTGCATGGCCCTGGTCCTAGTTCTGTAGCTTAGGTCCTGGATCTATAGCACGGATCCTTCTCTCAATGTGGATCTCCCAGAGGTTTCTCACTATTCTCCCACTGGGTTTCAGAGTTTTTCCTTGCCTATGCTGGAGGGTCTGTTGGACTGTTAGTGGTCTCACAAAAAGGACTCTTAACATTATGGACATTTATAAACATTCATCCATTGGTCAACTCCCCCTATAGACCAATTTGTGTTCTATGTTTTTTGTGTTTGAACTGTTTGATTCTCTGATCTGTGTTGGCAATTTCAACTCTACTGTTGTGATTTAGGGCTATACAATAATACATTGAATTGAATTGAATAGTAGAGTAAATTAAACTCTGCTTCTACTTGAAAAAACAACACAGTGGGTGAGGTCAGCTCTCTGTGAGTCCACTTCTGTCTGCGGCCTAAAATAACAGAGAACCAGTCTGTTTTGCAGATGCCTGTTGTGCCTGTTCGGTAACTGTTGGAGACTGGCTCCTGGGGCAGTGACGGTATATAGATGGACAATGCAAATCTGCTTGCTCAATGAAGCTCAATAGGGAAGTGCTCACGGACAAAGTTTCTCTCTAGCTCAATATGGCTCCTCTATGATTTACATTGAAAAGTAAACTCCTCTAGCTCAGTAACCGTTTTCACACTCACTATTTTCGGTTTAGAACCATATTAAATGAGCTGTTTCTGGAAGACTCTTTTGACATATAGTAACAATATGCGCTCTGTTACATTGACCCTTGGGTGTGTATCTAAAGTTTATACCCCCCGTTTTCAAAGATTATGTAAAATTGTTAGTGGTTTCACTCTGTAACAACAAGTAAAAGAGCAATGGCCCTAAGCTGCTACCCTGAGGAACCCCCTGTTGCAGTCTTTTAAAAGTGAGAAACTTCAGAGGCTGATGAGCGAGTGCTGCTTCTTCAGTAGACACTTCCCATTGGTTAGGACAGCCGTCAGTCAAAGTAAGCTGTAAATTGTCCTTGCCAACACACCAGCGTGATAGAAAACACGTCTAATATGATGGAACTCGGCTTGTTTCCAAAGTGAGCTGCCAGCGAAGACCCGCGGTCATGCCCCAAGCACGAGGCCCAAACAGCATTAGGTGAAGTGCTGCTCGTCATCAGAATACGATTTGTCCAAACAGACGAGCATTGAGCGATCACGAGCTGTGCAACAAACAAACAACACGAGGAGGAGGTTGGTGTGGAGGGGCCGAGAGGAGAGCCAGGTCCGGACCGTGGCGCAAACATGAACATAATTTTTTTTATGTTCATGGGACCCTCTCAAGAATGAGATGCTGCAACTCAAGGGGCTTTCCCTAAACAAAATAAAGTCAAACATCCAATTCTATTTTGGTCTCATCTGATCTCCTCTGTCTCCTTGGTCTCCTAGGTTTCTTCTGGATCATCCAGAGGGTCAGTGTAAAACTTTAGGTCTGGACATGAGCTGGCTTCAGCACGTACTCTCAAGAGCATTACATCAACTGTGAAGCATGGGGGTGGAAACATGATGGTTTGGGGCTGCGTTTCTGCAAAGTTGATAGATAGATGATAGATACTTTATTGATCCCCCATAGGAGAAATGCAGATGTCCAGTAGCAGAAACACATCCCTTCAGGACTGATCCGTATAAAGAATAGATGTTCAAAAACGACCAAAAACACAAATTCTACAACTTTGTAAACATGAGGCTCCAGGTGTGGACTGGTTTGTGAATGTCTCAGATAATGCCTTGATGAGACGATCCACTGACCTCAAGTACAGTGTGTGTGTGTGTGCGTGTGCGTGTGTGTGTGTGTGTGTGTGTGTGTTTGTGTGTATTTGTGTGCATTCCTCTAAGGTGACAGGGGAATGTGACGGTTCCACCTCCTCTGTGTCCCGAGCTCCAGCGAGTCCAGACCTGTCCCAGAGACACAGTCCTTCACAGTCACTGAAACATGTGCAGAAAAACAACTCATTCCTTTCTCTCAGAAAATATGAATATGGTATATAGTATTTTAATATTTTAACTCCCAGAGCAGTCAATTTGACGGCTTCTTATTTTTGAAGTGTAATCACTCAGTTTATGTAAGTTTTTGGTCTTCATAACTTTGGGACTTTTTCTTTATGTTCAGATGTTATGGATCAGAGCAATCTCAGCTCGGAGCAAGTGCTAGTTACCGTGGCAACACACAATTTGAAGCAGTTAGCATTAGGTTTGTTGTATCTCAGTAGTAATCACATGTAAAAAACCTTTTTTTTTCAGAATTTAATTTATTTTAATGGGAACTGTCAAAATAACTGGTGAGGGAGTTCTAGTAGTTTCAGAATTCTGGATACAGAACAGTATTATGTTTGTTACAGCAGGTCTTTGCTCTGGCGGGAGATGTTTACTTATTAAATCCAGCCGTTTTAATTGTTGAATAAACTTGGCTTAAGAAGATTCGTGGCTTTTCCCTTTAAACACTTTCATCCTTTTATGTTTAAACTTTTAAAAACTCATGGCCTGCTCGCGTGTTTCAGGGTACAGTGCTGCCCCCTGCTGACCACAGTGCAGCTGTAGTTTTAGGACCAAACATGACGTCATATAGACGTTACAAGGAGAAAAAAAGTTGATTAAAGTTGGGGAACCTAAATGTCAAGGCACAACATCAGAACTCTGTCATAGAATCCATGTCACTAGTTTTTGGCTCACATTCAGGGATTTCTGGCCTCTGTTTTATCTTAAGCTTTGTGACAGAGAAAAGTGAAAAAGAGAGGGTCGCCATCACTCAGCCAATCAGCTCACAGTCTGAAGAAACGACATACTCTAAAAGATGAGGACAGAATGTTGTGGTCTGTTAAGAGTCTTTACGACTGTTGGACAAAGAACT